GAAGGAACCACCCTCTCCTAACTTCCCCAATCAACAAGAGCCTTGTCTTTGGGTCTTTGCTCCTTTTTGTGTAGACCTGCCTGAAGAAGCCGTCTTTATGGGATCTGTCCAGTGCATTATCTCCTCCCCTTAGCCCTTGGTCATGCTAGGCAAGCACACTACCCGTGCGCTACAGCGCAGTCCTTCAGAATCTCTTAAACCCACCCATCAGGCTTTCCCTGGCTCTCTCCAATCCATCCAGGGGTAAGTGCTGTTTGTTAACAGAGAAATGATCCCAGCATTTTCTTTCTGCAGATACACACACAACAAATGGTTACTTTTTAAAAATTACCTAGGTGGTGAGATGATAGGCCATTTTTTACAATGTTTTAGTGCCGTATGAATTATTTTTAATGAGAAATGTGTTGTTTCCTAATCAAGGGGGAAAACTGATTTCATTTTTGATAAAGAAAGCATCTTTGCTTTATGGAGCACTCTATCTGTGGCTTTGTTTCAAAAGTGAAGAATTGGGAAGAAAGCTAAGGCAAGTAAACGCGTTTGTTTTCAGTAGAAAAACACCTACTAAAATATGCAGTAGCCCCTCATTTCTGAGAACTATTTGGATGACTTTTTAATAGTGTACATTCTAAATCAGTATTTTATTTTCCTAGCTGGAGATTTTTATCTTGTCTTGGGCAGATGACAGTGAGAAGGATAAATGGTGGGTGGGGGCGAGGGGAATCTCAGAAAGGCCAGGAGGAACCAGATCTGAAATATGCCTTGGTCATGACATAGCCTTCCCTCATCTGGTGAACCTCTCTTCCTATAACACACGGTTCATTCTCCCCACCCCGCCCATCAGAGTACTGACTAACCTCAGTTCATCCCCAAGTGTGGAACCTGCCGTGATCCTCATTTTTTCCAACTCGGCCCCTTGGTACCACTTTCCTTTCCCATCCTTCCTTTCTTACCTCGATCTAAACAAATCTGTCGTTTCCCCTCATGTTTATGAGATGAACATAATTCTCACCTTAAAACTGAACAGCAAGAAACACGGTAGGCAAGCAGCCTACAGTGCCCCCCAAATATGTTTAAATTAGAGACAATTTGAAGGGAATATTTTCCAATAATCAACACCCCCATGAGGTTTTAAACTCCAGTTTTGGGACAGCTTGTCAATATGCATTTACTGGACTCAATAGCTGGACTCAACTATTTCTTAAGAAGGAAAATGGCACAGGGGTAAATATATGCATAGAAAGTATAAAGGAGTGTTCAACACAATATTAATAATAGGCCTCTGGGCTACTGGATTTGGGAGGAGCAGGTGTTGCCTTCCCATATTATGGCATTTTCTGAATGCTCTGGTTTTCACAACTACTCAAAGAACTTAAAAATTAATTGCACCAACAGGTGAATGCTCAAAGAGAAGCAGGGCGGAGAGTGGGGTGGCGGGTAAGAACGAGAAAGCAGACCAAGTCCTCCTGTCCTTCTGTAGGCAGAGGGACGAGAACATACACTCAATCTTGAATCTCTGTCTCCAGTCTCGGAGTCCAGGAACCCATTCTTCAGATAACAGATCCATCAAACCTCGGCCAGGTCCCAAGCAAGGCAAAAACAAAGAAGTGGGGTTGGAGCTGTGCGACTCAGTGGCAGAGAACTTGCTTAGCATGCGTGAGATAGGAGTTCGGTCCCAACAATACAGAAGCGAGGGAGGGGACGGCTGCCGCAGCCCAGAAGGGTTATTTGGAAGGGGAGTTATTTGGGCAGGGGTGACAGAGCAAGCTAGGGAATGTTCTGTTCATGAAGCTGCTGGTGTTCCTGGAATCATGGCTTCCCACCTTTGCTTTGGCATCTGAAGTGCCAGGAGCTACTTAAGAGCGGGTTATCTGTTTTCAAGAAGTAGATCGCTGCGACAGGTATTATATGCGCAGGCGCGGAGGGAAGGTGCGGGGCTGTGCTGGAGCTCCCAGCCAGAGCCTCAGCTATCTCTTTTGGCAGAGGTTCTCAGGGATGAGACCATGTCTAGTGGGGATTTTCTCCAGCTTTGACAGCCTTGGCCCCACCAAAACACACAGCTTTGTTTCCCCATACATCACTCCTTGGGAGACTTCTGGGTTTTTCCTTTCCAGCATCCACAGGTCAAACACTGTGTGTTCCCAACAGTCTGTGAACTTCTTGGACTAGCAAAGGGACATTGATTTTGCTCAGCACTCCTTTTGAGTTTCTATTGTGTTGGATTTCCCACTCCCCCTACCCAGTCCCCAGAGAGTAACTTCCTCCTTGTTCTAATAACTTGGACCACAGTCAAGGTTGATGTGTTTCTCCATTTTGCAGGCTATTTTCTTCAGAAGAGACAAAACAGAGGCCAGCAGGGTAGCTGAGGTTTGTCAGCAGCCTTAGGAAGTCAGCAGCCGTTAAGAATACACAAAGAAAATGTTTTCAAACAAACACAAAGTAGACAGAACAAGATGTCAGAAATAGAAGTTTTCAAAATGGAGAGCTTATGCTCAGCAAGGATTCCCCAGATGTGTCTTGTCCTAGGAACCCACTTTAAAAAATGAATTTCTTGCCTCAGGAGATGACACTGTAGGTAAGAGTACTTGCTTTGCAAGCATAAAGACCCGAGTTCAAATCCCCGGTACTCCGCACAAAAACCTAGGCACAGCAGCATGTGCCTATAACCCCAGCATTGGGGGCTAAAGACAGGCGGAAGCTGAGAGCTTGCTGGCCGGCCAGCCAATCACAAAGGTAGCTTTCCCGGACCATGGAGAACCTACCACAAGGCAATAATGTGGAGAATGATAGAAGAAGGCACCCAAGGGACATGAGGGGGTTAAAAAATAGGCAAAGAGGAGTTGCAAAGATGGTTCAGCAGTTAAGAGCACTACCTGTTCCTCCAGAGGGCACAGATTCAATTCCCACCACCCATGTGGCAGCTCACAACCATCTGTAACACCAGTTCCAGGAGATCTAATGCCCTCTTCTGGCCAGTGTGGGCACTGCAAGCATGTTGTGCATAGACATAGATGCTATAGCAAAACATGCATTCAATAAAATATTTCGGTGGGGAGTGACAAGACAGAATCTCTCTACAAAGACCTTGCTGTCCTGGAACTCACTTTGTAGACCAGGCTAGCAGACTCACAGAGATCTGCCTGCCTCTGACTCCCGAGTACTGGGATTAAAGGTGTGTGCTACCTTTAATAGCAGGCCAATAAAAGAAATCTTGATAGATAGACAGATAGATAGATAAATAGATAGATAGATGGATGGATGGATGGATGGATGGATGGATGGATGGATGGATGGATGGATGGATGGATGGATGGATGGGTGGGTGGGTGGGTGGGTGGGTGGGTGGGTGGATGGGTGGGTGGGTGGGTGGGTGGGTGGATGGAAGGAAGGATGGATGGATGGATGGAATTTCTTCCAGGGTGGAAAACAAAAACAAGCTGCAGTAGGATCCAGTTTGAGGTACATGAGATTTTAATTAAAAACTGACATTTTATGTGATATGTGAATAGTTACTTTTTTCTTGAAATTGTGAGTCCAATTGTCAGTGTTTCTCATCATTGAGGAAAAACCAATTCTCTTCGCACAGTGCTCTGAGTAAAGTCAGTATTCAAGAAACCCTTTTTTACATCAGAACTCTTTTTTCCAAGATGAAAGTAATAATCAGTGAAAAATCTTCTCTTTTTTTTTCATACTTAGCTTTATCCTGATGACACACTTCCCAACCCCTGCCAAGTGATACACTTTACACAGAGAAAACCCTGACAATATCCAAAGTAGTCCAGGCATGGTGACATACTTGGGAGCCAAATCGGGTAGATCGCTGTAAGTTCCTAGCCAGCCTGGTCTGCATAGTGAGTTCCAGGTTAGCCTAGGTTGCTTAGTGCCTAAATAAAAAGATACCAAAACTGTCTCAATTGTTGAAAGACTCAGAATCAAAGGCACACCAAGGTTCCTTTTTCATAACTTTTTGAATCAAAAAGACCACAAAACCTGTATTTTGACATGAAGAACTTTTGTTTTGTTTTGCTTTGTTTTTTATTTTTGGAGACAGAATTTCTCTGTGTATGTAGCCCTGGCTGTCCAGGAACTTGCTCTGTAGACCAGGCTGGCCTCGAACTCACAGATCTACCTGCCTCTGCCTCCCAGTGCTGGGATTAAAGGCGTGTGCCACCACCTCCTGACATGAATATTTTATAATTAAAACATACTGCTTACTTTACAATCACACTCTGGCATTTCATCTGGCGAGAATTACTAAATTCTGAATGGTGAAGGGTGGGACCCAGAAAAGAGAAGGTAATGGAAATGGAGAGAGAAACATTTCAAAGCTGTAGAGGTTTTTGTTTTGTTTTTTCAGATCCATGGAGAGGGCGTAGAAACTTGGATAAAATAGCAGAAAAATCAAAGGACAGGGACTTTACAAAAAAGTGACTCCTCTGTGGCTGAAGGAGATCCAGTAAGGACAGAATCAACAGAAGAAGACGAAGGCCAGTCCTGATGTTTAAGCAGAGAAAACAAAATCAAAAGAAAGAATTCCAGAAATGTCCCATATTGTGGGCTATAGGGCTGGGGAATTACAGAAGTTTACGAATAGAATGAGTGGGGAATTCTTTGCAAAACCTGCCCACGGAATCAGAGTCAAAAGTCACTTCTCCCTGGAAAACGTAAAGCTGTGGAGAATAGCAAGGTTAAATAAACTAAGGCTGAAAGACCTGACTGATGACCTACAAGGAACATATTTGATGCCACAAATAGAGTGCTCTGTGAGACAAGGAAGTGAGCAGGGTTCCTGCTGCGTGGATTTTTTAATTGTTTTGCACGGATGTCAAGGAGAAAAATATCACCAATGCCATGCAGTCTGTGATAAGCCTACAATAAACCAGGAGGGGGGCTGAGGCAGGGACAGGTCTTCCCTATCCCCAGCAACTACCCTGACTCCCCCACGTTAGCTCTGACTCCTGAATTGCCCCAGATGTCAGTCAACAAAGCCATTGTCCACTCACTTGCTCTGCCCTTCTGTCCATTTCACTGAGCTGGAGCTCCCAGCAGCCATTCTAGAAGAGAAGAAGAGGTAGGGAATGGGGAATGGAGGATGCATGGTCTGGCAAGCCCCTGGCTCCCAGAATCCGATGAGAAACTTCGAGGCTAAGGGTCTTGTCAAGAGTGCTGAAATATGTTCTCAGTACCACTGGTGGGGTCCAAGACACCCCAGGAAGGCTAGACGGAATCAGATCTGGGCATGGAATATAGGCTGTCCCGCTAACCAGATGGGACCCTGGGAAGTGATTTGGCTCTCTAGAATTCATTAGTTCGTCTGTAACACAGGTAACAGTGCCTGGAGTCCAGAAGCCTGTTAAGAGGCTAGAAGAGCACCTGGTATCTCAGGCACACCACACTGTCATCTCCTCAGACTCATTAGAAACTACATGTGAGTTCTTCGACTGTTGAAACCCAGCCCCACCTGCCCTCCTTGCTTTTGCTTTAGGAGCAAAGAGAAGCTTTGCACATGTGTGGCTGCAACACGCCCCTGCAGTGCCTGTACATCTTGTGTGAGCAAAACCTGTCAGTGCAACCAGGAGTGGGCACATCTAACTTCGGACTGTTCAAATCAACACACACCAGTACAGTTCATAGACTTTGTACATGCAAAGCATTTCTTGATAAGATAATACAGTGGTTAACATCAGTGATAGCGCCAGCAAAACATAAACATTCAGTGAAGTTTCATGGGCACAGTGTCTTTGAAGAATTCTAAAACATTCAACAAAGAAAGGACACACTAAGGTTCCCAAGATTCCTTGTTCCCTTGCTCCAGACAAAAACATCCCATTTCCAGTTTTGAAAATTCAGTGTTGAACACACCCCTCCAACTGGAGAGGGAGGAAAGTCTCTGAGTGCCACTGTGAGCCACGCCTTCTTTTCTAGGCCCACGCCTGTGCTCCCTTTATAAGCTATAAATGCCTGGAAATGATTTAGACAGCTATAAGTTCCTTACCCCTTTAAAGTGGCTCCTAGGTTCATCTGATTCCAGGTCATGCATTCAAGCTGGGAGGTCATTTGGTATAAATTGTCACTGTGGAAAACATCCATAGTTAGAAACACGGCCACATACACTAGGACAGAACTATTTCTTTAAACACAGCCAAGTTCTCACCTTACAGCATATGCCTCCACATTTTCTAAAACGATGAATATGTAAATCTAAAATGGTTTTCATTTCATCTCATTGATCTCTACACTTACACACACACACACACACACACACACACACACAGCAGAAAGGATGAGAGTAATTCAGTTGTTCAGAGAAAAAAGCCTTAGCACAGTGAATTTGGGAGTTTCTAAAGAGATATTCAACCTTGGAGGGAAGAGGCTAGAGGGAGTATGGCTTTGAAAGGTAACACAGGCTGGATGCTCAACATTAAAGTTAAAAGCCTGAAGCTGAGAGTAAAGTGACAGCGGATTAATTATTCGTGAAAAGGCCATTACGTTTGTTTAATCAAAAGGATAAGTATCATGTGGATTACGAGGGTCCGAAAGGTCAGGGTGATGGGTGATGAATTGACTAACACCCAAGGATGTGACGAGCAAAAGAAACAGGGCAGTGGTCTCAGCACACAGCTAAGGAATTATTCTGCATGTATTTTACAATCCTAGTGAAAGTCAAGTGAAGTTTTAAGGAAAAAAAAATTTTAAACAGCCTATGATTTACATTAAGACCTCAAAGGGCAAAATGTACCTCCAGGTAAACCAACCAAGAGCTGTTCTCTCTCCATTGTGTATCTCATTACTAACACTTAAATCAAGAAATCTGCAATGACCAAGCCCTATCAGGAAGACATTTAGGGCGGAATCGAAAGGGTTAATTGTGAAATCTGAAGCCCAAGAGTTTAATGGTTTGCCTGGAAACCTTCAGTCTAAACGTATTGCAGAAGAAAGTTTTCACCCTACCTGCGCTGCAGAATGAACAGAGATAAGCATTCAATGCCTAATGCATGTTACCAGATCACAAATCCCGGACAATCTCCTGTCTTGTCCCAACATTCCTTTCTGTTGCTTTATCAGACAGAGGCCATAGGAGTTTCTAATTCAGAAAGGGTTTTCTGGGCCAACTGAACTGAGAACTTGTGGAGGGGTGACAGAAATCCCACCACTCTGAATCACTGGGCACTGTCGTGTGCTCACTCGCTCACTCTCAACCTTGCTCCGTAAATAATGGTAGGCATCCAGCTGACTCTCCTATAATCTCACTGCACATTATTTAGAACTCCTTAAGGCCAGTACCCGGGCTGAGGAGGAAATCAGCTTCCGGGAGGAGGTTTCTGCATATGAAAAGTAGAGTGACTTCAAACTCCAAGTATGTGCAGCTTCATTAGTCAGTGGGTATCTGGGCCCCATCACTCATCCCCGCGTCTGACTGCCTATTATGCTACCACAATATCCTACATATCAATGGGAAGGGGGAAAAGAAGATTAGTTTCTTCTGGAGCTTCCTCCTTTACGGCGGCAGCCCGTGCTGGTCTGTGCCACTGCGTTTCGCAATTCCACGAATTCTTTCTGTAAGGCTGATGTAATTAATTCCTGAAAGACCCCAACTTTTATTAGAAGTGCCAGCCTGCTGCATTTACCACAGCAGAATTTCTTGAACTTTCTTTGGGCTGACAGTTCATTAATAAGCGGCCTCCTCCACAATCTCTCTGCTGGTTTTTGTTCTCCTGTGCCTTCTCATCAAGCAATCCATTTATTAATCTTGCCATTAATCTCAGCCAAGGGGCATTGTATTCCCCAGGTAGCTCTATATTTTTGTCACTGATTTTTAAAAAATTATTCACCAACTAAAATCACTCAGCTGCAGTTGACAATTTTCCTTGGCCCCGTTGGGATGTGGGGTCTCTCTGGAATGACTTAACCCTTACATAAGACTCAGAATATTATCATTTTCTTTTCTCCTATTATTATTATTATTATTATTATTATTATTATTAGTTTTTTGAGAAAAGGTTTCTCTATGTAACAGTCTTGACTGTCCTGGAACTCACTTTGCAGACCAGGCTGGCCTCAAACTCACAGAGATCCACCTGCCTCTGCCTCTCAAGTGCTGGGATTAAAGGCGTGTGCCACCACCACCTGGCTATGGTCATTTTCAAGGAAGTTGGGAAATAAGGTGAGTGACAGAAGTTGATGCCTAAGGTTGGATGAATGAATCCTAAATCTCTAAATTCATATTTAGAGATTTTCTAAGACTCAATGCACAGTCCTGTTGATTCCTGATTGCCTCAATACAAAAAAATATCAAAGACATATAACTTTAAATGCATTTCCTTGGTCCCCAGAAGAATTTTCTCAAATGCAGAACATACACATGTGTGTCTTCCTATGGGATATTTAATTTTTAAAAAAAACTCTGTACTTCATTGTCCAATACGGCAACCATTAGCCATGTGTGGCTATTGAACATCAGAAACAGAGCCTCATTGAGATAAATTCAGGCTATACTGGGCAAGTACAATGTTTTATATAACGAGCTTCTTTTTTTCTTCTTCTTATTTTAATGTGGTTACTAGCACATTTCAAATACATCCATGGCTTATACTATGTTTCTACTAGAAAAAGTGGTACTTTTGAGTGGCACTTGGTATGTTCTGCTCCTTTGGAAGCATTTGGCATCTGAGGCTAGTTCACTGTCATTTACACAGTAATCATACTCTCACAATAATAATCATAACAAAAATTTTAAATAATACCACTAATTTTAAAAATATATTTTCTCTTTGTAACCTTTCTGCATAAAGACCCTTAGGAATCAATGGGATTGTTTTGAGTCTGTGAGAAAATCTGAGGAAATTACCATACAGCTCTCTGTACCTCAGGCTTCACATCTATCAAATGAGAAAATTAATCTTAGTCTCATTTTATAGGGATATTGTAAGGCTCAAAGAGATTGATGTTCATACTGGCGCTCTGAAGATGGTATGAAGAATGTACAGTTTTCTAACCTGTCAAATTTTATCTGCCACATTTGTGCATCCTCGGCTTAGTTCCCAACAACTTCATGAAACTATCATCCCCATTTGTCAGACAAGGATACCTGCTGCTAGGATGTCTGATGACCCTCTTCCATGCTCCTTTAGAGGCTCCTAGGCATGATTCAACAAATGAACCTATACTATCATTTATATAACAGTACAGCAAAGAATCTGGAGGTGAAAGACCAAAGGAGGTGTTTATCCAAAGGAACATCAGGGCCAGCAACTCATGGAAGCTGTGGGGATGCAAGACGCCTGTTGTAGACTCTTCTACTCACTAAGGATAGTGCATCCCCCCTGCCTGGTGACTGACCTCCCAACACTCTGTGCTCCAGTTGTTCTAATAGCTGAGCCATAAAGCTTCAGAAGAGGGAGGCTGGGGAGATGGAATAGAGGAGAAGGGATTGCAGAAAATCTCCAAGCTACTAGTAGGTTTCCTTAACCATACCCTGCCTTCTGCTGGCTCAGTGGACTGGCCGCATGGCACAGCTTTCCTCTAAAGCCCGTGGAAACAATGACAGTGACCCACTGCTGCAGAGGGCAGAGTGTCAACTTGAGCTACAAATACTGGGACACACCATAGTCACGACAATTCCGATCTCTTTAGGCAATTAGCTAACACCTGGCTCTCATCATGGAAGCCTGGGGAAAGAGGCAGCATCATTCAGGGAATATTGACCTCTGGCAAATGGAGTATTTACTTATTAAATGGCCGTGGTCAGTATCCACCACCTCATCCCCAGAAGGAATCAGATAAACATGTGGTTTGGCTCAAAGCAGCCCCAGTGGTCACGTAGACATTTCAGCTCCAACCATTAAGCTCTGCCTGGTCGGAAGTGGACCTGAAGCTACAGACTGCCAAAATATATTCCCAATGTCATGATATCCTTTATATAGTTTAAGTAGATTTTTTTAAGTCACTTGTTTCCTATGTTTAAAAAAAAATGTTTGAAGTCAGAGGCAAGGGAGAAAGGAAAGAAACTTGTATAGCTGGGATTAATGCGAGTTGGAGTAAAATGAAAGGAAGTCAGTCCTAGCAAAAAGGGGAACTTAAAAGGAAATCAGTAGTAGATCGTATAGTTTGTTTTGGCCTGGATTGCAGAATTACTGTGTTCTTGACCTCTACACAAAAGAAAGGAAGGGGAAAAAAACCTCCGCTATTATCTAGACCAGAACTCCCCCACCTTCAAATACAGTGGACTCGAGCACGTTTCCATCTTTAAGTGTGTTTACTATATTTGACAGAAGACGGATGAAAGGATCCTGTCAGAATCCTCTAACTGGTCTGTTTGAGATCACAATTCTTCAGCCACTGTGGCTGTGGCTGGGAAAAGAGAATCTCAGCACAGGTGAAGCTTCCCCATAGGATTAAAAGACAGACAATTGTTGAAAAAGACTTCACCACTAAAGTCAGTGGTAAGACTTTGAGATAAGGGTTTCTGCTATGATGGCCCAGCCCTGTACCAAAGGAGAGGTCTCTGTGGCCTTGCCTCTACCCCCTAAGCAAGGTGCACATGGGGAGACTACATGCAGACTTCCACGGAGCCTTTTTTCCTGCGACCCTCCCTCCACTGCGGCGGCGCCGTGGAGGCTGACTGCCCTGAACTTTCTGCCCAGCAGGCTACAGTGAATAATTATTTCATAGTCACTCTCTTGGTATTGTATTTGCTCTCAAGCTCACCAGCTAACCAAAGGAAAACCCACTAGGGATTCAATTTCTAATAATAAACACTTGGTCAGCACACAAGTTACAGGAATATTTGGAACTAGATTTTTCCCCCTCCCTGGAGACGGGTTCAATTCAAGCCTGTGGCTTTGATAACATGGCCCACCACGCTGGAAACCACTCCAGTCCTTCCATTTTAGCTTCTGTGGGAAACAAATATAAAAATATACTGTACGATGTTCATGGTTTCACAAGTGAAGACAGGCAAAATTAATGGTAATTTTATTTTGAGTACAGCTGTCGCCTGATTTATGACTTAATTGAGGCGAAGTCCACGTGGCAAGTCATGGATATCCCTTTGACCTACAGTTTCCAAAATTCCACAGAAGCTCTGTGGCTGTGCTAAGGTGGTTGATCGTCTGTGAAATTAACAGGTCTACTGACCACATCAGTGTTCAGGAATCATCAATATTCCATTACAATATCTGAAGCATAAGTTTTTTAGAATTGGAGTAGTGCTATCTGCTAAAGAGCAAACATAGAACCCAAGGAAATCTTCTCATTTAAACCCACAGCATGGAAAAAGAAATCCAAGTAAAGTTATGGGCTGGAGAGATGGCTCAGCAGTTAAGAACACTGACTGCTCTTCCAGAGGACCAGCGCTCAAGTCCCAGCACCCACATGGAGGCTCACAACCACCTATAATTCTAGTCCCAGGGGATCAAACACTCTCCTTTGGTCACTGAATGTGTATGATACAGAGACATACATGCAGACAAAACGCCGTATACAGAAAACAAACACAATTTTAAAAAAGAGAGACATATAAAATTAATAGAAAAGCAAAAGGATGGGTTAAAAAAACTAGAATATGAAAAAAATCAGTACAAATAGGAGTATGTTTCATACACAGTACCCAGCACTGTTCAAAGTAGCTGTGAGGGCTTCAGGGAGCAGTAACTCTGAGGCAGTTAGCCAGCAGAAGAGCCTAACAGCAAGGCTTGGAAACAGTGACCAGCTAGCTGCCTTGTCTGGCTAGAAACTGCAATGGGTTCTACTGCATGAGGCTGGACTTCATTCCTCCTCACTCTGGGAGATCATGCAGTCCACTCTTCCCTGAGACCTTGCTTCTGGGCAAGCACACACCAGGAGGGCCCAGAAGCAATCCTCCTAAAGCAGACAGGTGAAAAGAGAGGTTTATACTCTAGAAGTCTTTAGGAGGCTTCTACTGTTCTGAGTTTCATCCCGGTGCGATATGCCCAACGGTAAGGATGAAGCTGACGGAGTCGAGAACGCTGCTTTTGACAATACCCACCAGGGCAAACACGGCGCATAACACTTTCTATGGTGGCTATGAGTAAAATGGACTTCCACTACTATGGGAGATAAAGTCCATCCTCCAGCAAGAATGATGACACATAACATCCTTAGAGAATGGTACTTAGCCATGTGAGAGGGAGAGGAAGAAAAGATTGCATCCTCGCTGTCTCAATTCAAATCCAAATTACATTTCTTACTATGTCCCACTGGGGAAAAAAAAATTAACCTCCCAGGGTCTTAGCGTCTTCCTTTGTAAAATGCAGGTGATAACCCAGTGCTCACCTCCCAAACCAGTGGTGTGGATTAAAGAAGTCAGCACCCACGAGGTGCTTTACAATGGCACTTGACACACAACAGGTCTACGCAGGCAAGTATTTGTGCTTCCTGTTTATCAATAAAAGATCCTGGCATAGAAGGGGCATAATCCACGCAAGAGGTCCAGAATCACTCACTTTCAGAGTACAAATGGGCTTTGGACTCCACTCACTGTGTGATCTTCATCAAGATGCCTCAGGTCTCTCAACTTACCTCCTCATCAGTAAGGTGGAAATTATAGTATCTCCTTCATAGGTAGTAAGATTAGTGGGTGGGCTGAGTGTGCTGCTGGAGAGAGAGAGTGGTGTAGGGGACAAAAGAGCTAACGTTTTGAGACGTTCCTCAAAGCAGCCTCACATCAGTCCTTGGCTTATTTAATGCCACAGGTGTACCATTTTTTGTATCTCAAACAAGAGAAGGAAACTAGATCCCAAGCCTGGGGAGACAACAGTTTATATGGGGAGAGATGGCTGTGGTGGGGGGGAGCAGGAGAAGAGGAGGCAGAGCGGTCTGCCCCAGGGTACCAAAGGCAGCAAGGCAGACAAAGGAGGAGCAAGCCTTTCTTTCCCAGTTGTTCCCAGCCTTAGAAGGAAAAAGGTACCAAGCCGAGGACCAGTAAGTAGCCAATCACTAACCATCAAAAATTCAGAACTGAAGCCATTTAACCATTAAAGTTTGCTTCCATTCTCCGTGCTACTGAACCGTTACATTCACGCAAGTGTTTGAACACCCTCCAAATGGTTTCAGAAATAGAAAAGAAGTATGCAACTTTGGTATATTTGCCTGATCATCGCTCCTGTGGGACAGTTATGTGATTTTGGAAAAGGGGTTCTCAACGCTGCGAATTGAGGTTGAAAGGAGCACCAGAGGCCCACATGAATGCTTCAAGGGAGCAAGCTCTTTTCCTACAAGGGTCCTAACTGTTTTGGCTACGTTTCTACTAAGGAAATTTCTGTAGTGGGAGAAAATGATGTTTTTATGAGATCAGTGCAAAAACAAGACCAAAAAATGTTGTACAATGTCATAGAAAGAATAAAGGGACAAGCAAAAATTTTTGCAAGGTGAATCTGACAAAATTACTTTCAGTAGTGGCCAGTCAGAAGCTGGGCTAGAAAATATGTTTTGTAATAAAATATGATCTTGGGGTAAGGTAATACAGTTCCGTGATAGAGTAGATGCTTGGCCTGCAAGAAGCCCCAGCGACAAAACTGTAACCATCAGAATGACTTTCCCTTCCGGATGGTAACCACAGATTCATCCCCAGGTCAGAATCCATCTCAGATCCTCCCCAAGTCAAAAATCCGTAAGAAAAATCCAAACTCCGTTTGGGAAAATGATACTAAATTGTAGGTTGTGATCACTTTCTGATGGACTCCCTTCCTAGAGTTCCTCAGCGTGGGCCAGGCTTTGGCAGAAAGAGGAATGAACGATGTGTCTGTAAGTAACACATACACACACACACACACACACACACACACACACACACACACACACACTCACAAACTACATCTTGCCAGCCCCTAGGCCCCAAGAAGGTACAAGCCCCATCTCAACAATGTCCACTCCTACACCTACACCAAGCTCTTTTTCCTGACTGAGGGGACCAAGGTCTTCACACCGGGAACTGTTCCAGGGACCTCCCTTATAGCTACTAGAATAACATCGATGACACTCTTGGCATTAGACAGGAAGGATGTCTGTGGCTTGTTACCACCACTCCCCCTAAGGGAAGAGGCTTCCAGCAGGGAGTGTATGCAAATCTTGAGTACTTTCTAGCTAGGGAGGGAGAAAAAGCTTGTGTCCCCCCCTCCGCACCTTGGGCATGCCTCCCATTTGAAGAAAAGCGATGCGGAATCCAAGATCCGGTTAGATGTGATTTTTTTTTCCCCACACCAAACAGAAAAGTTTCCAAAGTCTGAGCCCTCCAGAGGGCAAAAATAGAAGAGCCCAGGCATTGTGCATTGATACCCGGATGGGAGAGTCAGACCAGCCCCAGAGTCAATTTCGTAAATGCACCTGCGACCCTAGGATGCACCGCTGCACTGCAAGCTCTGGAGTCGCGAGCAAGGACGTGCCCCTCCTCCACCTGAGGGACTGGAGGTCCCCAGGCGCGGCCATTCCCCCACCCAATCTCCCAAGACAGAAGCTTTTCCTTCCTTCATTACCTCACTACCTCCTTCCCTTGACGTCAGCCTCCCGGAGCCGAGGGGCGGGAGGATGGGGATGGGTTGGGGCTGTCGGTGTCAGGATCCCCGCAGTACCCGGGGGAGGAGGGAGCGGTGAGGTAATGCGCACCCAATCCTCTGCAGCCAAGACCGGCAGCGCGGCCACCTTCCAGCGGGACCGGTGTGTGTGCATCGCAGTTACTAAGCAACCCTATCTGAGACGCGGGATGCCGGCCAAGTTCACCCAAAGTTGAAGAATAAATTTGGGGGAGAAAGGGTGGAGAGTGGAACTAGAGACTAGAGAAGGGGGAGGAGCAGAGCTTCGGTGAGGAAAAAAGCTGACCTTCCTTCTCCGGGAGCAAGAAGGGCGCGCGCTTGTGTGCAGACGTCTCCCTGATCAACCGTCTCTAGTAAAGGGTCTCGCCCCAGAGCGCACACAAGGCTGCCACAAACCACGTCCACAGAACACTGCCACAGGTCAAAACGCTGGAGGGTAAGGGGGAGAGGAAGGATGTGGCCCACTCTAGATGCAATTTAAGTAGTTTGGCCCCTGTGGCCAGTTGGCAGAAGGCTTTAAACTAAAGGATGGAGTGGGAGTGGACTTGGTCCTTAGTTTTTGGTCCTGGGGAAGTTAAAGAGCTTCCAGCAAAGACCATTAGGAAATAAATCGTGACCGGGCATGATGGCACACTCCTTTAATCTCAGTACTATGGAGAGAGAGAGAGGCGGACCCCTAAGTTCGAAGCCACCCTGGTCTACAGAGCAAGTATCAGGACAACCAGGGATACACAGAAAAACTCTGTCTCGAAATATCAAATAAAAGAAATAACCCGTGAAGGCCGCAGCCTCTTTTTTTTTTTTAATCTCCAAACCTAACGGCCTCCATTTATATGCAAAGCAAATTGATATCCAAGGCGGGCACCTGCTTTAATTTGAGCGTCTGGGCCGGGTACAGACTTTCTTTGCCTCCAAGACCCTCCTGCTGTCCGCGATGGCCAGGGTCTGGCGTTCCCTCGCGGCCCGCTCACCTGCACCTCCAGGGTCACCAGGACACAGTCGTGGTGCTCCGCACCACGCTTACCTGCTGTAGGGCGTCCTCAGCAGCAGGGCCTGGCTGCCTGTGCAGCTGTCCGAAGGGGTGTGACAGCCGTACACCGGGGGCGGCACCGAATACTGCTGCTCGCCTGCCAGAGAGCCAAGGGCAGCGGTAAGTGGGACTGAAGAGGGTTCTTGTGCCGGGGAGAGCGTGCTGAGCTTCGGACAGCGGGGCCTGGCGCCAGCCGTGTGACAGCGAGGCCGCTCTCAACTCGGGGAACGAAAACCTCTTCACTTAGGGTTGCCTGTCAGGCACTCTAGCCTTGGTTGCCTTGTCTGAGTGGCACTTCTCCGTAACTTACTTGGAATAGAAGGAGCTTCGCTCTTTCAAAGAGAGTAAAGCCAGCTATTATTTCTAGGATGCCTTTAGACGGCCTCTACTTCCTTCCCCAATTTGCTAAGGCCTGGAAATCCAGGTAGGAAACGGGGAAAGAGACGGAGGCAGCGGGTAAAGACCCGCATCTTTCCCATCCACTTACCCAGAGAGCCCTGCTGGCTCATAGGGTCCTCGTGTTTGAAGGAGTGGTTGGGAAACTGCGCCGCGTGGTGCGAGGGCGTGTGACCGTAGCTGGGCGCCCCGTCGAAAGTGACCGTGCTGTATCCTGAGGAACCGCCAAAAAGAAGCACAGAGTCAATTAGGCTCCTGAATAGGCGAGGGCGCGACACTGGCCTCGGGTACCTGATTCCAGAATTCGCATCAGCCGTAAGGCGTTCCCCGCCCCTCCGACCTTTAGGACTTCAGGCTTGGGGCAGGGACCAAGCTCTGTGATGTGACCTCACCCCACCCCTTCTCCCAACTAAAATTCCAAGCTCCCTTCGGTTCCCCAATTCTTCCATTGCTGAATAGCTCCAGCCAGTTAGGTGTAAAAACCGTCGCCCGCCTGGCGGAGAAGTTGTCTTTCTTAAAAAACAAACAACACCGTGGCTCTCGCGCAAGGGCGGCTCGGCCCAGGGGACTGAATTTCCTCCGCTGACCCCGCTTTGACTCGGGGTTGTAAATCAGGGGCCCGTGCACCAACTTCCATTAATTACTCGGAGCCAGTTCAACGGTCTGCGCTTTAAACGCAGAGAGTGATTAACCAGGGCACGTTATGTCTCTGGGCTGCACAGCCTGACACCAAGACACCCAAAGCCTTTAGGAAAGCTTGTAGGGGTGGAAAGAAAGGACCCTTCCAGTTGGGTCGAGTCCTTCGCCCCCTCCTCCACGCCCATCTGGGGCCCAGAGGGCCCAACTCCGACCACTGCTGTAGTGACTACCCTTCTTGCCCTACAGGCCGGAAAACCGACTTCTTTTAAAGTGTGCAGCACACTGTCCTTACCTGTCCCTGGGTAGCAGTGTCCCAAATTCTTGCCTCAGTTTCCCTGCTGAGAAACAGAGGCCCGTGCTCTTTCCTATCACTCGAATGGATGAAATGTGGAGTCTCGGAAATCTTACTCGTGTATGATATTGTTTCTAAATTTCTATAAACACACAACCCACCAGCTTTGCCAAAGCTCAAGCTGGTGCAAGAGGGAGCATCCTAAGAATCCTCCCAGGGACTGGATGGGGGTGGGGCCTCCCCCTCCTGTGGTGAAGCTTGGTAGAAGAAGCCTGGACTCCCAGGATAGAATGCAAATGAGAGCCCTTTCAGACCCTGAGAGTGGCTACTCGCCTTCCCTTCCGGGGCCTCGCAGCAGCCCCCGTGGCTTCCTACTGCCCGGTCTCTAAAACCCCAAAAGCTCTAGGGATCAAGGTTCTTCAATAAGGGCTCGCTCAGACCATTCATTCAGTACAGAGACAGGAAGCCGGTTATCTCCAAAATATAAAGGGGACACCCACTGCCCAAACAAAATCCCGAGCTTCTATCGGGGTCACTCCGGAGCAGTAAACGCACACTGTCCGGATTGAGGTGTTTCACAGTGAAGGAATGGAATGAGACACCATGGGAATTACCGAGTTCTGCCCTGGGAAGGCCTGAGTGCCCCGGGAGCTCCGGTTAGTGACTGAGGAATCAACAAGCTTTTCAACCTGGGAGAGCCCAGAGTGCCTCATTTTTCTTCCTGTGAAGTGGAGAAAGATAATCCCCAACCCTAATAGCTCTTGGGCGTGGATCAATAAGTACGTGTGGCCTTCCGGAGACTTCCTTTTGTGAGAAAAGGCCTCGCCCTACTTGAGGCCTACAGCTTACAAACGAAATATGGGTCTAGGCACCCACCCGAATTTTCCCAGAAGAATTTAGGAGTTTGTGAAAGAGCATTTAAACAAAAAAAACGGGGGGAAGGCAGGGCGGTAGAAGCAATAAAGTTTCTCTAAACGAACCCTTCTCCATTTCTGAGCCGAGCTGCCAACGACCTAAGGCACGCACAGTCAGAGACCCGCTGCTCAACCGCTGGTAGCGAGAGCTGCTGGTGCCAGGCTGCTGCTCCCACGCTGGGGACGTCCGCTCCGCGCTCCGGAACTCCGGCGTGAGGATGCGGGCGTCCAGCAAAGCTCCTTATCCGCCTAGTCGTAGATGAGACCCGCGGACCGTGGCGGGCAGCGGCAACCTTGAGCCCCTCCCTCGGGGCTCCTGGGAGGGACAACAGTGAAAGGGATCGGAGGGAGAGCTCTTTTAATTAGAAGCTTATCGGAACCGGGGGCTGATTAGGAACCCACTGTACCCGCACTGAGCTGAGCCCAGTTCGAAGAGGGCGGGAGTGGGGGCCGGGGAAGAGACTGCTGACTCGGCGAAGTATCAGGAGTATTCAAAGGCTTCTTGTCCAGGCCGTGGAGGGAGAGGCCCTCGAAGCCAAGGTAGCCACTTTCCCACGGTTGGTCTGGACCAGGGAGGGGAAAGCAACCTTGACTTTGCGGGAAGGAGAGTATCGCTCTGAGCTCTCCTCCCCTGCCTCCACTGCGGAGGAGCCCGGAACAGACTGCCCCAGCTTGGCCCTGAGGAGCTGAGAGGGAGATCCTAAGGCGGGCTAAGCCTGGAAGGTGTTCCAGAAAACCCACCGCCATGGGATAGGTGGAGTCCTCACTCCCACCCACCCAACTACCGTCTTTGATGTGACCGGAGGGGGGCGCTTTAGGCTCCATCACAGCTGGTCTCCCCGTGTGACCAGCTTCGGAAGGGCAGTGATCTCCAGGGCCTAGGTTCACGTTGGTGTGAGCCCTAGCAGGGCTTGGGGGTGGGGGCGTCAGAAGCCGACCGCAAGCCCACATTGGGTCCAGACTAGGAAAACCCTCACCCTCACTTCTGGGTCTTGACAGACTTTACAACCATCTCATACTCTTAAGTTGTCAGGGCCTATTCAACAGGGCAGAGAACATCCATTTCAACCACGAAGAAAACAGGAGGAAAATGTGGGTTCAAATCCCTAGCTCTGCCAAGACCTAAGAGGTCTCTGGAAGTCTAACTTCCCAGTGCCTGGAGTTCAGCGTCCAGTATTAAGAGGCTATGTGCTTCTTGTAAAGGTTCCTATAGCCATTAGCTATCTGTAGTCAATCTACACCCTCACCGGGCCGAGTAAGGTTTTAGTGTTTGCTAAATTAATGTTTAGACAATTGGGACGACAGCGATATAAGAAATGGGGGGTGGGTGTCCCTAAGAAACTGAAGAAGGGATGAATGAGCACCATAGTTAGGCTCCATGGTTTGCATACAGGTAACTCGAGACAGCCTGGACTCTTCTCTGCAGTGGAGTCTGAGCAAGGCGCGGCGATGGCCATTCTCACATTTTCCAGCGACAGCTGGCACCTTCTAATCAAAACCCCAAACTAAATCCTACATTATGGAAACGATCCGTAGGAACTCCAATAGTAGGAAGAATGAATATTCAAAGAATCTGGGACCTCCAGGGTCTGCCCTAGTTGTCACCTGGAGTTGGAGCCAGAGGGGAGGGAGGAATGGCAGCCCCATAATGCCCCACTTCAGCTCCCAGCGGCCAAGGGAGCCCACAGACTGTACCTGTACAACCCACTTGTTTTAACTAGGAGAGAAAAAGGTAAGTTCCCTGACAGGAACCTGCTTCCAGGGTATGACTCTACCCTGGAGACATCTCCCCACCGGCCTTTTCCTGTGCGGTATGAGAAGAGCAGAGAGGGTGGCGGGGAGGCTTCACCTGCTGGTCCTGGTCCTCCGCTCCCAAGCTCTTTCTCCAGTAGCAACCCGGCCTGTCTACTCCAGAAGAATCTGGACCACCACCACCCACGTAATGGCAATGCCCACGGGCTTTAAATTCTCAGTCCCACTCACCTTCTACTATGGGCTTCTACTAGACTTGCAATGCAGAATGCTAAACATCACACACACACACACACACACACACACACACACACACACACACGCAAAGCTGCAAGGCCCCCATGAGCCTAGAAGGACTCAAAAAGATGGTGGCATGTTAGTATTTGCTCCCCGGAGAGTTATAGGTCAGCGAGTCTCTCCATATAACAGGCATGCTCACCCAAGTCACACACATGCCTGACAGTGGCCCTGTTTCTGACGCAGGGAGGTTTAGGTGGGCTGTGTGTTCTGTATTTAGAGCCCGGTGGGGCTTCCTCGCGTTTGGCCTGTAACTTCCCGGCCTAAGCCATCTCAGCTCTTCTCTTAGGGGATCAGCGAACTGACCTGGAGGTTTGCCAACGGCAGCACCTGCCTACTAGAAAGTGATGCAGAGGCACCGAGTTCTTCCAACATCTCCTGATCAAAACGCTAGTTTCATTTAAGGAAGACCCGGAACGGAGGGGCCCCATGAGTCCGCTCCAGGTTGCTCCCTGAGACCAGGAGCTGGCATTCTTCAGTGGTTTCGGTTTCGCTAGAGCTTCGGGTGGTCGCGGTGCTGCCGGATGGGTTCAGAAGGCCCCCCAGAGAACCCTTCCACACCTCCCGCAAACAGTACCCGCCCTTCCCACATATTTCAGAAACACCCAGACCAAGGACAGCAGAATTTTTGGTTCAAGAAAAGCACCCGCCTCTGTGTTAGTAAATATTTCCCCCAAACATCGAATGAAACCAAATTAGATTCTCAACAGCAAAGGAATCAAATGAGAGCAAACGAAGATAACTACAGTGGTTTAGCAACCATGGTTCCGCCAGGGCGCTAACGAAGGAGAGGTGTGGGGGAGCCTGCCAGAGTTAGAACACATACTTATGGCATACAAGGTCCCTTGGACATTGACGGAAGATCGCCAATACACTTGTTCTTGTTGCAATGTCCCACTCCTGAGGAACATTTCCCCAACCTAACCTCTGCGTGTGTGACTGGAAAGCATCCGAGGAGCGCTGAAAGGAAGAAAGCCACCTTTTCCCAGATTCCCCGCAAGGATTTGGTTATCGTTTGGAGTTGGCCCAGCCAGGCTGTCTTCCATTCCCGCCGCCTGCGTGGCCCGAGACTTTGCGTCGCCTGGAGAGATCCCTACAGTACTACCTTTCCCACAAGCTGAGTGCGAACCCGACACGGTCCCCAAAGTGTTAATCCCCCCATTCCAAAGCTCCCTTCTTGCTTCTGGTGGGCCTGAAGTGAGCCGGCGGCGCCTATGGAGAGCCAGGGGTTCTTCAGGTTTGAGCCTGTCAGAGGCATCACGGGGCTCCCTAAACGCTGATCGGACTCCTGAGTCCTCTAAGTCCGTCTATCCTAGACGTCTGAAAGGGTCGACGCCTGGTGGTAATTTGGTGAGGCATCAGACCTTTCCCCAAGGCAGAGCCACATGCTACAACCAACCCTACAACCAATCCCCTCTTTCTCTTCCCGTGGAGTCCCGGAATCTCTCAGGCACCCTGGGACCCGAGATGTCCTCCCGGGTCCTGCGAACTATCGGACTCTGGGGTCATGCTCAGCAGTGTGTGTGTGTGTGTGTGTGTGTGTGTGTGTGTGTGTGTGTGTGTGTGTTAGCACTTCACAGAGTCCATTCTTCCCTGTCCAGGCACCCGCTACTTTCAGAATCCTTGGAAGGCAGCTAGGTAAGAGTTAGGATCAGGAAGAAACAGGGGAGGGGAGAGGCCGCGTGGGGCGAGGACGCCCAGCCACGGTCGCGCGTGGAGGGCGGGCTGTCCGGACTCCATACCTTGGTTGCGGATGGTGGGCTGGCTCTCCAGGCAGCTGGGCAGGTAGGGCGCATTGGGGAACATCCTGGCCTGGCCCGAGGACGCCTGGCTGGGCGGGGGAGGACCGAAGGGTCCGTAGCGACAGGCCCCGGCTGTCCCGGTGAACTGGCCGGAGAAGTGCAAGGTGAAGGCGCTCAGACATTGCTCCTCGTGCGGCTCGGCGCCGCCCCAGCTGGGCTCCTGTTTGATGAAGGAGTGGGGTGGCGGCGGCGGCGGCGGCGGCGGAGCGGGCGGAGGCGCGGGACCGCCCAGCGACCCGTAAGCCGAGGCGCCGGGAGGCGCGAAGTCCAGCACCGGTGCCCACTGCGCCGCGCCGCTCACCGGGAGCCCGCAGCCGCCGCCGCTGCCCAGCGAGGACACGGCGGGCAGGAGCGCGTTCAGGTCCCGCACGTCGGAACCCATCAGCGGCGCCTCGGACCCGGACGGCCCTCCGCTCCTGCGATCCTGCGGACCGTCGGCACTGGGCTTGGCCCAGGTGCTGCGGGGGCCTCGATCCCCCGGCTGCTCCTGCGGCTGCAGACGCCCGGGCTCACGGCGGAGCGTGTGCTGAGACGCCGGCTCCGGGACACACGTGGAAGCCGGCTCCTGCGACAGGAGGAAGTCCAGGATCGCGGGCGAGGAGGCGGCGGGCCCGGGCTCCTGGGCTGCGGTCCTCGCTCTGGGTGGGTGGGTGGGTGAGTGAGTGGGTGGGAGGGAGGGCGGGAAAGGGGGAGCAGGCTGGCTATCCGGTGGCGGCGGAGAGCCCCCCGGGTGTGGGCGCTGCCTTGAACTCCTTACCCCAGCTGCCTGGCTGCCCCCAGCTTCCCAAAGCTCAAATAAGAGGGGCCGGCAGCGGGGGAAGGAGGAGGAGCCAGGACGCTCGGCCGCTCCATTCACACACCAGCCCCTGCCTGCCCCGGCGGCAGCGCGCGCCGCTCGCCCCGGGCGCTCGTAGCGGGGGTGTGGGGCGGGCCCGAGGGAGCGGTCATCCCAGAGACACCCTCCTCTCTGGCCCACCACGTGCTCTCCGCTGGCCTGTGGAGCAAACCTCCCCTCGCCTTCCCAGCCGGCCTTCCCGAGTGTGAGCGCTTTAAGGCAAGGCCCTCTAGGTAAGTCGTGTGTGTGTCCCCCCCCCCCGCACTCCCACCCTCCTCGGCGCGTCGGATCGAGGTGGGCGTAGAGTCGGGGTGGTTAATCAGAGAGGGTGGGGTGGAGGGAGGGGCGGGTGGGCTCCAAGAGGGCGGGAACCAGAGAGCCCAGAGAGAA